CAATTCGGCACATCGAGAGAGGGGTGGGAGAGGGGACAGGGTCCCCACCTGCACGAGCAGGATCTTGGAACGAACGATCAGGGACACAGGGGAACGGGAGCGGGGAGCGCATCGCGACACGGAGGGGGGCTGGGCAGGGTTCACCCACACGACAGGGTCCCAGGGATTCCTCTCTCGTATAGGACAGGTTGCACCCGGCGGCACGGGGGCAGGCGCGGGCCTCCTACTGGTTGCGCTCTCCTAGTTCTCCTGCTCCTGACAAGGGACAGCGACAGGCTCGCAGCACGGTGGACTCCCTATTCCACTGGCGATCTCTCTCGACTAGCGACCTTCCTCCGGCTTCTCACCAGCAGTCTCTCACTACCACGGGCACACTGACAGAGGCGGCCAAAAGGCTCACGTGGGTGGCAGGGCGGTGATAGGAGTCTCCCACTCTGTGGGCTTCGCTAGAGGTGCGGCCCCTGCGCGTGTCCTCGCCCTTGCGTGTGTGTGTGTGTGTGTGTGTGTGTGTGTGTGTGTGTGTGTGTGTGTGTGTGTGTGTGTGTGTGTGTGTGTGTGTGTGTGTGTGTGTGTGTGTGTGTGTGTGTGTGTGTGTGTGTCTGCGGGCGCTGTGCGAGCCGCCCTGAACGACCACAATGTTGAGCGCGCTCGAGCACCGAAGCACCGCGAGCGCCGGCGAGCACCACCGCCCCGCGCCTTGGCGTGGGTCGGTGCTGTGAGAGAGAGTTCTTCTCGTTGAATTCTTTCAAGGACTGCACCGCTCCCGGCGGCCCGCTCACTACAGCTTCCGCCGGCCGCTGTCCATGACAGACGACTCATCCGACGCACGCTTCGAGCGGGCGCTGAGCGCCCGATCGGAGCTCGCGCCGGACGAGGCTGTCGCGCTCGCCCGCCTCTCTCTCGAGGAGCTCTCGATCGACAGGGCGCTCGAGCGGTGCTCGCAGCTCATCTGCGGCCGACCGGCGCCGCCAAAGACTGCGGCTCCGTCCTCGGTGTGTGGACTGGTTTGGAAGACGGGCGACATCGTCTACCACTGCCGAACCTGCGGCATGGACCCGTCCTGCGCCATCTGCCACGACTGCTTCCTCAACTCGGACCACACGGGCCACGACTTTTGGATGTTCTCGTCGGGCGGAGGCTGCTGCGACTGCGGAGACGTCGAGGCGTGGAAGCCCTCCGGCT